AGGAGATATACATGGTCAGAGCAACCCGGGTCGAGGTAATGCCAACCATACGTCATGGAGAGCTGTACAGTGTTGTCGTGGCGCTCTGTGTGGCGCTGGAGCAAGCAGAGCAAGGACAGCTTCTGGACACGACTCTCAAGATCTTCAACGATAACTTATTCTGCCAGGACTTGCTACGGGGAGGGCTTGGTATCCCGGATTTGGATTCTTGCATGTATTCGCTGATTCGGGCGGCCATTTGGGTGTCGTGGAGGCTTCTGGCCGTGTTTCGGTGTCGAACTGAGCTGCATTATATCAAGGGGCACGGACACAATGTGGCGCCGCACGTCATCTGCGACAAGATCTCGAGGAACATGTGGACCGGGGGTCGTTATGCAGGAGAGTATCAAGAGGGGGTTCATTGGAGCTACGATGGTTCTATATCTGGTGGTCAGTTGGCGCGACGTCTTTTGCTGGAGCTAGGCAAAAGCCCCGTCTTATAATAGGGGCTTGAGAGAGGGATTTGATTGCTGGACCCCAAGCGTGACAGGAGCTGGGGTATGTTGGGGTGGCACGCAAGTGTGTGAAGGCTTGGGCTGTTCCTTGCATGCAGTGTTGGACCAGACTTGTTGTCGAGTCAGGTTTGGTTGGAATGACAGTGACCCAAGAGGGCTTTGACTTTGGGACTGTGGTGGTTTGGTATGACTTTGTTGCGTTTGTACTGTTTGGATGGAAATTAAAAGGATTCATTGTTGTTGGGAGTTGCTGAGGAGTCTTTGTGTCTACGAGTACATAAAACGTTTATTCACCGCCAACGAGCCTAAACTCTTGGCCGTACCGATGGGCCTTCCCTTCTGACCTCTTCTCGCTAAATCGTAAATATACGCCAGCTTCCCGAAATATCTCCAATCACCTCTAACTGAACAGGGCAATTGTACACCTCGTTTTGTCGATTCGATCCTGGAACATCACCATTGGATGGGCTTCAATGAAGACAACATCTGCAAGCGGACGGCACGGAAGTAAAGACTCGACAGGTTCGAGGACACAAGAAAACACTCCGACACGCCAGGATATCACGACTGGAGATGACTGCTGTCAGAGGTAGCGCTAGGTTTTCTCCGGCTGGCATAGGTCGTGGCGCATCCAGACACCCAGGTAAACAGTACCCGGTAGGGATAGGGGTGACGAGAGTGACGAAGTGGTAAAAAAGATGGCCAAAATGCCTCCAGAAGTCTCTGGAGCGGGAGCAACCCAAGCGATTGAAGTCCAGCGGGGCAATAGGAGACTGGATGAGATCGCGGCAGCGACCGCCCCTGCGATTCCTTCCGGTACGTCAAGATCCCGTCACATAATGACCTCTCGGCTCCATCACGATCGCGATGACCTGAAGCCTCAATCCCCCTGCCAATTTTGCTTAAAGTGATGGAATCTAACAGTGAACTAGAACGCCTGCTCAGCAAGTCGACCAATTCCCTTGGCACCTTCAGACACGGCAAAGTTCAGACGCCACAGAGCCTTGGATAATTGACGTCCAGGCTGCTGGCTCAACCTTCGGCAAGCGTAATAACCCTGGGTAAACACATACCGGCACGCAACCTCCAAACTTCGCCGGCGCCTGTCCGGAGACTCCTCGACTTAGCCCGTTCGACGAGAGCCTTCACAGGGAAATGGCTGGTTTGGTACAGACGGCGGCTTGAGTTTCACCTCAGGGTTTCGTACAGCTGCAGGATCCAGGGGCACTGGATTAAGGGGCATGAGCAAGAGGTTATGCTCAAGAGCACGCTCGCTGGTCGGTGCTGATGACCGTCATCGGCCTATTATGGCTAACCGAGTCGGATGTCAAGATGTCAAGGCGATGCGGGCCGTATATGCGAATTCAGTGATGCGTCGGGGCGATGATCCGGAACTTGAACAAAGTCCAGGGCAGATGATCGTCGAGGTGCTAACTTTGGTGCTAGCCGCCAGAACTTTGCGATATGGTGTCCCAAAACATGTGGACCGGAAAGACAGGTACTAGAAGCTATATTGAAGGAGTGGATTGGAAGTTTAATGGCTCGGCTGGCGGTGGAATAGTGGCTTCCCGACTGCAGTTTCAGACAGGTAAATGGTGACGGAGATAATGCAGGACAATGATGTGGGTTGGGGAGAGGCCGAGGGCAAAAAAGTAGCCCGGCCCCAGGCTCGAACTGGGAATTCTGAGTGCGGAGGAATGATGTCTTGAGGCGGCATCTTCCATGTCCAAGAATCGAACTCGGAAAGGTGTGAAAGGAAGGTGTGTTAATTGGGAAGTCAACAACCCCGTCACTCAGCAACGCTTTTGACCGTTTGACCAGCCAGGCTTGAAAACACTGCCCTGAAATCTGACCTATAGGCTACCGGTGCCCTCCACGAGAACGCGGTAGGGCCTGGGCATCTTGATGGTGGATCCACTTCAAGTTCGGATGAAATCTCTCGGTTCCTGAGTGGGTGTTCGCAGAGTGGTCGGGCGCACCTTCCCCAACGAACCTGTCGCGGAAAAAATCTGCGGAGCTTTTCAACTTCCCACTTTCCATTGCACAAAGGAAACGGGCCTCAATCCCTCACTCTGCTCCTTTCGCTCTATGTGCAATACGCTTGCGCGTGTTGCATAATATGGACACCAAAGCTGTCACAGGCGCAGTGCGCGAAAACGCGGCCTCAGCGAGCTGCGGGAGGACGACTCTGATCCCAAAGATGGCGAGGATCCGAATGGCAATGATGGCAGCCCGAAATTCAAGCGAGTCAAGCTGGAAAAAGATCTCTGTGCGGAATCTCTAGCAGGTACCTGAAGCCCTCCGGAGAACAGCATCTCTCCCCTCCCTACCATGATGAGCACTCAGCTCTTATTTCCCACGCCGCAAGAGCAAGACGTTCGGCGTTTGGTGAACTATGATCACCACTCTCGCGCTGACAAGTAGCAGTGCCGAACAAAGCATTTGAACCTCGAATAAAGAAAGCGTTTCAGCGTTCATCGCCCGCCAGCACGGCTAGGACCTCAGGCTCTGCGGCAACGAATCAACAAGCTCGTGTGAGCCACCAGTCATCACCTCTTGAGGAATCCGAAGCGCTAGGGCCTATAAAAAATGTCGAGATTCCCCCGCCACCCAAGTCTCTTTCGCTGCTCCCGCCAACGAAGCCGCATCCCCAGGAACTTGATGATACACCCTAAGCAGCAGAGACATATGAGAAACGGAAAGGATTGACAAAGAAGAAGAAGAAGAAGAAGAAGAAAAAGAAGAAGAAGCTGGCAAAACCTGGAAAGCCTTCTCTGCTACCGTCCCTTCCGCCAGGGGTCTCTTTGCCAGCACGTCCTGATGTTTCTACACCGCCTCAAGCCCCCATCTTGAATAGCTCAGTGCCTCGGCAACCTCTTTACATCCCATCACAAAGTTCCTCGCAGCGATCATTGCCAACTCCAGCCTTCGCCCATCCCCCTACATGGCAGCCTCCGTGCCAATGGTACGCCAGTCCGACCATCCAACCTGCGACCCCCTGGCAAGCCTATGGGCTGCCACCGCCTTAGATGGGCGAGAGTCAAGTTTTCCCAGGCAGTCTAGTTTGGCTTGGAAACGCTGCAGCGATAGCAGAAGGCAACAACGCAGCAAGATACTCGCGAGATCTAGCGACCGGACGGCAGAAATGGGCCCTCTACGCTGATTCATCAAGGAAAGCCGAGGAGCCCTACGCCGACATGGGAGGATGTGCAGTTGTATATCGACCCCCTGGATACGTACAGGGCCCATGGCTTGTCAGGGCTTGGCGGGTTCCTGATATGGCAGAAATCCTGCATGGCGAACTTTATGGCATTGTGGGCGCGCTCCTGGTTGTGCTTGAATACGCAGAGCAAGGGCTCATCTGGGACACGGCAATAAATGTCTTCAATGACAATCTCGAATGCCAGCATTGGATTCGAGGCGGCCCAGGCAATAAAGACCTCGACCCCGTGATCAAGCCTTTGGTCCAGGCTGTGTCGTGGATCTCGCGTCGACTAGGCGCATTTAGGTGTGAAGTCACAATGAGTTGGATTCCCGGTCATCGCCACAATGTTGTCCCCCACATCATTGCAGATGGCTGGTCTCGGAACATGTGGACAGGCAGGCCAGGCGTCACCGGCTATGTTAAAGAGATCGACTGGGTCTTCGACGGCTCAATCTTTGAAGGTTCCCTTGCAGCTTGTTTGCAATTCAAGCCGAAGGCGGTCATCTCTGGACCCCCTGGAGTGCCAGCTCGATCAGAATGCAGAGCGTCCCGAAGCGCACCACCCCCAAGTCCTCGAACCGAGCCACCCCCGCCTCCGCCGATTCCCGAGGGCATGCCACCTCCGCCGGACGATAATACAGCCAAGTACCAGCGAGTGGCATAGTTTGGAGATCATTTGTTCACTAGCTGTCGAAAGAAATGGGTGGGCGATTGTGCAGGGGGGATTACTCGACGTTTGGGAGGAGCTTGTTAGCTACATGACTTGAAGTCTTTGTTGCTACCTGTTAGAAGTGTAAATCTGTTAGATCGTGGTTTGGTCGTTATCTAACGTCAGGAGGAAATAATATACTGATAGTGGAAAGAGGATTTCGTTTCTTCTACCCCATCTGATGCTATTGCCATATTGTCGCTAGACTCCTTGACGCTATTCCTTTCCTAACTCCAATTTAGATATATTGTCAGAGTTTCCACACTTCGGTTTGTACGACTTTTACACACCTGACTTTTGGACAGTAGGACCTTGTCCCCATATCGAGCATAATTCATTTTATTCCGGGGGCAAGAACCACGGAAAAGGTCGATTTCCTACAGAATGTTAAAGCGCCTGCTACACTTCAGCCCGCAAAGACGGTCTTAGATCGCTGGCTTATCCCTGAGGTCGACACGCGCCTGTCCAGGCAGTACAACAAATCGTGTTGAACAAAAAGGGTATTTGACGACCAGACCGAAGAATATTTAGCCAGGGAAAAAAGAAAAGAGAGAAAAGCACTGCTTCAGGAATCTCGGACATGGCAAAAAGAAGCCCCGCCCCAGAATCGAACTGGGAATTTGAGATTATGAGGGAAACAGACTGTGGTATGGTGTGGATCGGAAGGAAGTTGGGTTGTAAGTGTAGATCAACCAATCTCAAATCTCGAACGCTCAAGACCGCTTGACCAAGCCGGGCTGCCAATCGTAACAGCTTGGTTATCTGAGACGAATCTGGGCACACGAAATTTCCTTTTTCGTTCACGATCCTGAGCTGGGGTGAGCTGGGGTGAGCCGTGGCTGATTTGTCCTGAGCTCTCCCTGATTCTTCCCTGAGCTGGGGTGATCCCGTACACCGCCGCCGCACAGCCTCAAAAGGCCCCTTTTCAGTCCCCCTGGCTAAAGTTTCCTATCGATGGAAAGGAGACGACGCGTAATCTGTAAGGATAGCTCCCAGGCAACAATTCCAATCACGACGTACGTAGGACTTGGGCTGGAAGCCCTATTGTCAAAGCTGAGCAACCTACGCCTTACCCAAAATCCCAAACAAACCAACAGAATCCAATCAAATCAATTTCAAACCTATACCATTGCTATGCTATGCCAGAGAAGGATGCGGTACGGGTGGAGTCGCTGACGACTACAGCAACGTCACCTGTCTGTGCTCTTGTCTGGTTGACAAGTCAGTATCTACCATTAGGGATATATAAGCTGCCTTGTTAAATTTTCCATTCGTGATAGAAAGATGCTGGGGAGTTTAGTGACGCTGGCAAGTAAAATTCTCATCTTGATAGGATAGAGTTCCCAACCTTGTTGACACTCAGATGCGGATAGTTCTCCTAGGTACGTACTTTATTCTGCCGGCAGAAAATTATGCAGCGTTCAACTCTCGTTCCTCCGTATTTGTACCGTTTCTACCGGCAGAATATGAGACCCAGTTCTCGGCCACAAGCCCACATCTTGTCCCCGCTCCCGTGGGCTACGTACCTTTTCTGCCGGCAGAATTTACTGCCCAGTTTCGGCGACCAAAGTTCTCCACCGTTACCGTGCGATACCGGCAGAAATTTACCGCCCAGCGTGAGCGACCCAGTTCTCGGCCATGAGCCCATATTTAGTTCCAGTCACCGTGCGCTACGTACCTTTTCTACCGGCAGAAATTTACCGCCTAGCGTGAGCGACCCCAGTTCTCGCCCCAAGCCCAGATATTGTTTCTGCTACCTTAGGCTTCGTACCTTTTCTGCCAAGACAGGACGTTCAGGGGGTTACAATATCACAACTTCTCCAATTCGCACTCGAACGACAATTCTAGCATCAAAATTCATTACGGTACAGTAGAGACCGAAATGAGTGTCCAGGATTTCAATGTTGAAAAGCTTTGAGAAGGGCCAGTTTTGTGGCCCACCATGACTCATACAGTGCGCTGTTCTGACACTTTGTACGGGCACGTAATAAAAGCATAGACCACTTTTGGCTGCTGACTAAGAGCACAGCCAAACGGAATTAAGCAGAGGTTATGATTACAACTGGTTAACACATATCATGCGCTTTAACCAGATTGGGAACTAGAAACGCCCTCGCTCCTCCATTGCTCCAGAGCGGCCAACGACGACAGCGTGTATGGATGCTTCGTACCAATCACCCGCTGCTGAGCCTGGGCGCAGTATTCCATCAAGGCCAAAGCTTCTTGATACCGACCCTGACTTTTCCAAGTAAAAGCGAGGTTGTTCATGCTCGTCATCGTATCTAGGTGATCTGTCCCAAGCTTGGTCTTACGAGTCTCCATCACCTGCACGTTCAGCTTCTCGGCTTCCTCCCATTTGCCTTGGTCCTTTTGGACTAAAGCAAATATCGATGCGCTTGCTAGCGTCGCCACATCCTCCCTTCCCAGCTTCTTCTCGCGAACCTTCATCGCTTTCCCTACCATCTGCTGCGCAACCTCGTATCTCCCTTGCGACCAGGCATACCATCCCCCGTTGTGCAAAAGAGTCGCCCATTCAAGCGTATCCTTCTTGAATCGGTAACCAAGAGCTACTTGAACGTGTGCGAAAAGACCCCGACACTTTGCCCAGTTCTCATACTTCCCAGTTGGGAATAATGCTGCCATTCGCTCGATATACTGCCGCTTGAACGTGTCCTGCTGCCCAGACGCTTTTAGCCACCTCCTCGTTCACAGCTGTACAAGTCCGTGCATCTCAAACTCATCCCCTGTGTCGTCTGCGGTAATGAGGCAGTAATCCCTTAGCATCGCCACGTCGTCTTCAAATCTGCCGTCTATGTCGTCTGCACCATCATCTGTGTTATCGTCTGTAGCACTGCTGCTATCGTCCGACTCCCCATCCCCTACCTCTGCTCCTACTTGCACTGTATCCTTAGCGGTTCCGGAAGGTTTTAGCACCCACCCAGGGATGCCTTGTCGGTCGAAAAAGCTCATGAGTGACAGGAGGTCTGCTGCAGAGGGCCGCTTGGACCGAATGTAGTCGAACGATATTTCCCATGTCGTAAGAATCGCGTTCGATGCGCCTCCATCCCGTCGCAGGTCGCCGCCATCGTACCCTAGAAGCCGGGCCTAGGTACGCTCGTTTTCCCGGAACTCGGCCAGGTACTTCTCCGGTGAGCTGCGCGGCGCTCTTGCCTGTATGTATGCTGCGGCCTGGCTGATGGCCAGCGGAACGAGGTCGAGTGCCTGTACGAGGTCGGCCGCTACATCTGAATCCGTGGCCGATCCCAGCTTCTTCTCTAAGAGTGTAAGGGCATCTGTATACGCCATCGGCCCGATGTCGATCATATTTTGACGGCGACTGGTCAGCCTAAAAGCTAAGTCCTTGTTGCGGGTTGTGACGACAATTGATCCGTTTCGGCTTTGTGGTAGGTACGTCGCGATCGGTCGTCCGTCTCGTATATCGCTACTAGTTGTGCCGTAGAATACGTCACGGTCGTCGGCGCTGTCGAGGATCATAACCCATCTGCCGTTTCGCTCGTTGGACAGCCAGCTATGCACAAGTTGTGGGATGTTGGCCTTGGGATGGTTCCGACCGGGCAGCTTGACGGCGTCGGCAATCGTCCTGAAGCTCTCTTCGACGCGCGCCTGCGTGCCGGCGTGGACCCAGAATACCCATGTGTCGGGCTGCGCCTCGGCGATCCGGTGAGCGAACTCGATGCCCAGCTGCGACTTGCCAACCCCGCCCAGGCCGACAAGGGCCACGCGGGAAGCGGGCTCGGAACATCGTCGGCCGATTTGCTCGAGAATGTCTCTCCGCTCGACGAAATCGGGGTCGCGCGAGAAGGGGATGGTCGCGAACGGTTGCGGCGGGGTTTCTGGTTGTTCTGAGAAGGTTAGCGGGGCACCCGGTAGTTCGAGCGGCGGCAATCTTACCCGGCAGCAGGTGGAATTGCGTGCTGATCGACCCATAATTCTGCCCCACCTGGAAACCCTGGTTCTGGGCCCCGAATAATACAGACTGCATTGACGACATCCTAGGGTCTAGGGTTTTTGGCTACCATAACGTCGAACAGCAAGCTGTCAGTGAGGAATTGCCGTGAAGTTGCCATGGTGCGGCTGAACATTTGCTGCCCAACGGCTGCCTGTTTCGCACGTGATCTAATGGCTCAGCCTCAGAAACGCGTTTGGCAGCAATTGCCAGTTTGGGGATGTCCTTATCACCCTCTCCACTTACCACAACCGTCATAATGGACCCCTTGAGCATTACAGCTGCAGTCGTGGGTATCGCTGCCCCAGCAGCACACTGTATCCACCTTCTGTTAGGAGACCTCCAGAAGATTGTCGACGCGCCCGAAACTCTCGCATCACTCAAGAGGGACCTGCTCTCTGTGGACCAGGCTCTTGCCTCCCTGCAAGCAATATCCGATCCGCAGTGGAAGTTGCTCGGTGAGACTGTGATTAGCCAGTCGAAAGCCGCGACCATCTCATGCAAAGAGTCCTGCGACAGGTTCAGAACTGCTCTCGGCCGCTGGACCCGGCACAGCGAAGATGGGAAACTGTCTTTGCGAGATCGCGCGATGGTCGGCTTCATCAAACAAGGCTACGTGAGGTCCATATCGGAGCAGCAAGACCATCTGTCGTGATGTCTCCTAGTGAGTCTTTGTCATTCACACATATCACACCAGCTACCTATGTACACAGGACTACGCAACGGTATTATCCAAAACTACTACAAGGTCTTCACCGACAGCAGGGTTCATTACCCCCCCTTTTCTTCATCACTCACACAGGCAAACTCACAACGCCGCCAGAGCCATCAACACTCCCGCAACAAGCGGCGGCACCGTCGTCGCAAACGCCGCGGCCCCCGCAGTAGAAGCAGTCTGTCAACCCGTCAGTCCCCTACATCACCAACCCAACCCTCAAGAACAGCACTTACCGTCGCAGCAGCAGTCGTACCCGCCGTCGTGGAAGACACAGTAGGCGTCGCTGTCCCTGAGCCTGAAGGAGCAGGTCCGGAAGCAGACGGACCAGCTGTACTCGAAGCACCAGCAGCAGGGGACGGAACGGCCGTCAGTCCACAAGTCTAGAGAAAGCCCTCTTCCACCGTGTACGCGGGACTGGGGAAGACGATGTCACCCCATCGTGGAAAGAGTTCCGGTAGACAAAATCGGGACAAGGCCTTGAATGACGCGAAAGCTTGTTGGGCTGAGGAGGCCGTGTTGCTTGGCATATGAGGGGTTTTGGCACAGGTCCATTGCGGCTGTGATGTTTGTTACAAACGGTAGACCTGGCGTGTCCACCTCGGAATCTCGGGTCCCGGGAGCTTTGGAGGTGCTGCTCAGGCAGTGCTTCGTGAGCAAGGCAAAGGATGGGCGGTTGGTGAGGTCTTGTACCTCAAAATGAGTCCCCTGAGCTGATGGAGATATGAGCAGCCGAGGCTCATCAAGATGATTGACGATGAATGAAACGTCGGGGAGAGGTGCCGAGATGTTTTGCAACAAGGAGTTGAACAGTAGAGCCGTGTTTCTGTCAAAACCTCTTGCCGGGTGGTTGCAGTTGGTCTCCTTT